GCAGCAAGTGCATGAGGTCCTCCTCAGTTTCAGCAAGCAGGGTTGTGTCATCTGCATAACGGACTGCATGGACTGCTAGGAGAATAAATAGGTTTCTCCTGGAGAAGGTGAAGCTGGAATGCTCCTTGGAGTCAAGGATTCTGTAGCTTCGCCTGACATACTTTGGGCATGTTGCAAAGAGGGACTGGTCCTTGGAGAGGGACATCATGTTTGGCAGAGTGGAGGGGTGGCTCAGGAGAGGAAGACCTTGGATGAGATAGAACAATTCTGTGACTGGAGTGGTGGGAATGAATTTGTTTGAGATGGCTAGGTTGGCACAGAATAGACAGTGTTTAGGGCTCTTGTACCTAGGGTCGCTATGAGTCGCAAGCGACTCAATGGCACATAACAACAACAACAACAACAACAATACTTATGCATATTTGTACTTATTGTTGCTACTATGATTGCTGTTATCCTTTCCATAACGATTGGCTTCTTTTTTTTTTTTTTTACTCTTTTGCCTTTAAAAATGCCTTCTTTCACAAGTGAGATTCCTTTGACCTATATGTCACATTCATTTTTCTAAAAACATTAAGGAAGTAAATTTTAAAGTTATTTACCCTTTGATACAGAAAAATAGTTTCTCAAAATAGACCTGGTACCTCTGAATCTACCACTGAAGAGAGTCCAGTCACTGGAACCACCAACACTCACGACCCAAGCAGTTTGGGAGAAGTTTATGTTTGGGGTTATAATACTGTGGAAGGAACTTCATAATCTTGTTGACAGTAATAATCACCAGTATCTTCTGCCTGTATATTACTGATTGTCAAAATGAATTCTTTTCCAGACTGTGTCCCAGAAAATCTATCTGAGACTCCAGGATATCTGTTGTCTGCATCATAGATGAGCATTCTAGGAGCCCAGCCTGGTTTCTTCTGATACCAGCTTAAGTAATCACTAACATCTTTTTGTGCTGTGCAGGTGATGGAGACACTCTCTCTTAGAGACACCGAGAGGAGGGCTGGTGACTGGATCAGCACAATAGTCCCACTGGTAGCTGAGAAGAAAACAAAACACAAAATTATCTAATTGTTAACTAGGTCACATTTATGTTTTTCCCAGCACATCCCACCAGTTCTGATGCCCTTTATCTGAGAGCTCTGATGGTTTACTGGTAAGGGGTTGCTTCAAACTAGAAGGTTAGTGTTGGAATCCAACAGCTGTTCCATTGGAGAAAGTTATGTATTCTTGTCTTATGTGATTTATTACCTCCTCGAAAAAAACGACTGGAGCTATGAGTCAGTTACAACTAGAAAGTACTTTACAACAAAAATAATCTAAGAGCATTTAAATCTCTAAAGGAAGATTATGGGAGCGACATCTAGGAAGAACATAGGGAACATTTCACAGCCAGGAGAAGAAATATCTCATAATCTCTGAGTTCCAGGGCTCCTCCTCCTCACCTGAAAACCAGAATGACAGAAAACAGATCAATTTAGTCAGAGTCCCCATGTTCAATCTTTCCTTTCTGGAGGCCCCTTTACACCCAGAATCACAAAACAGAGTATTTAGGAGGACTCTAAAGAACTGAAACAATCTCAGGGGAAAATCATGTAAATCATTTTGGGGTTGAGTAGGTCTGGCCTTCCAGCTGCAGCTCAGGGTCCACCTCACACTGGCTCAGTTCCTTCTGAGTCCAAGTCAGATGTGGATTTCATAGACCCAGCAAACAGTGCTTCTCTCAAGGATTTCTGTAATTTAAAAAAAAATTCTGTTTCTTGTTTGTCTTCAGGATCATCAGTGGGGCTTTTTTCACTGTGTTTGCGAACCTATCTAAAAAGAAAGAAAGAAAATAAGTAAACTGGCCTTATAAGACCTAAACTTTAACATGAGCTTATTAAAATTATTATAAAATTGTAGGAAATGCCATTTTCCTAAGACAAGTGTGAAGTATTTAAATGTCTCTTTATATGATACTGAGAATAGGTATTGGCAGTTATACTGAGTTGAGGAATTACAGGAATAATTTTTTAAATGAATTAGTACACAGCTGCTTCCTATGGTTATTTTAGGTGTTGTCAAGTTGAGTATGACTCATAACTATCCTATGAACAAAAGATTTGAAACATCCTATCCTGTGTCATGCTTAGAATCTCTGAAAAATTAAAGCCCATTGCTGCAGTCACAGTGTCATTCCACCTGCTTGAGGGTCTTCCTCTCCTTTGTGATCTCTCCCCTCTTTTTGATTATTAATATTAATGAAGGTTTACAGAGACTTTGGATTTCCATTCATTCCTTGTTGCATTTTTCTCCATGCCCACACCTCCCCCACTCAGTTCGCTCTTCTCTTTGAAAAGTAAAAGAAAAATTCCTTCATTGTTAAGCAATCCCCTCCACAAGTCATTCTGGACTCTTGACATGACAACTATACCTAATCATATATCCCTTTTAAACAGTTCTCTCCATCTGTTTCAATGCAGTAGGCATTATTTATTCCCTCTTTCTCAGTCTCCCCACAACCCCAATGTCAGTCCTGTTTTACAACAGTGGCACTCTCTATGCAGTATCTGTCCTTCTGTGACTGAGATACTTCACTCAACATAATGTCCTCCAGGGTCATCAATTTTGTACAATATTTTATGAGTTCTTTTTTCTTCAATGTTGCATAGTATTCCATTGTGTGAACATACCAAAGCTTCTCTAGCCATTCATTTGTTGATGGGCACTAAGGTTGTTTCCAACTCTTTGCTATTGTGAACAAAGCTGCAATAAATGTGGGTGTGCATATATATATGCTTGGATTATGGTTATGGTTTCTTTAGGGTATATTTCAAGTAGTGGAATTGCTGGGTCAAATGGTATTTCTATTTCCATCTTTTTGAGAAAGTGCCATATAGCCTTCCATAGTGGTTTCACCATTTTACACTCTCACCAAAAGTGAGTAAGAGTTCCAGTTTCTCTGCAACTTCACCAGCATTTGAGGTTGGCTGCACTGTTAAATTTTGCTATTCTTACTGGGGTGAGATGATATCACATAGTTGTTTTGATTTGCATCTCTCTTATAGCTAAGGATTTGAACATTCCTTCATGTGTTTGTTTGCCATCTGGGTGTCTTCTTCGGTAAAGTGTCTGTTCATATCCTGTGCCCACTTTGCAATTGGATTATTTACCTTTATCTTTGTGGTGCTCAAGTATTTTATAAATTCTAGATTTAAGTCCTATATCTGTCATGTCATTACTAAATATTTTTCCCAGTCTGTGGCTTCCCTTTTGATCCTATTGGAGAAGATTTTAGATGTGCATAGGGATTTGATTCTTAGAAGGTCCATTCATTTATTTTATCCTCTCCTGGTTGCAGATTTTTCAGGATGCTTGGAAGACTGTTGATGTTGTGGATTAGGACTTTTATAGTTCTTCCAAGCTTTTTTTAAATGAATTTTATAGTCTTTGGTTTTAGTCATAGGTCCATGATCCATTTTGGATTGGTTTTTGTGTATGGAGTGAGGTGTGGAGGCTGCTTGACTTTTCTACAGATAGTTTTCCAATTTTGCCAGCACCACTTGTTAAAAAGGCTGTAATTTCCCCACTTAACTAATTTCTTCTCCTTGCCAAAAATCAGACCCTAGGAAGATGGTCTGATTTCTGGATCTCTATTCTCTTCTATTGACTTATATGTCTGTCATTGTACCCGTACCACGCTATCTTGACCACCACGGCAGTATAGTAGGATTTGAAATTAAGAAGTGAGATGCCTCCTACCTTGTTTCTGTTTTTAAGGAGCGCTTTGCTTATTCTGGGCCTCTTTCCATTCCAAATGAAATTGAGATTGCCTTTTCCATCTCGTTGAAGAATGGAATTGGTATTTGCATTTGGATTGCTTTGAACGTGTATTGTGATTTTCACAATATTGAGTCTTCCTATCCATGAGCAAGGGATATTCTTCCAACTTCTCCAGGTCTCTTTGAATGTTTTGTAAATTTCTTTTAATAGATCCTTTGTGTTTCTGGATAGATTTACCCCCAAGTTTTTAATCTTGTAATTAGCTATTGTGAACAGTATTTCACAATACCAATTCCAGTTCTGTATTTTCTTTGTCACTACAAAGAAATCCAATTGATTCTTTTTATGTTGATCTTGTATCCCGCCATGTTGCTGAATTGATTAAATATGTCCAGTAGTGTTCTTGCTGAGTCTTTAAGGTTTTCTAAATATACTATCATATCATCTGCATAGAGAGATAATTTCACCTCCTCTTTACCAATTTGGATACTTCTTATTTCCTTCTCTTTCCTTATTGCTATCACTAAGACTTCTAATACCATATTTAATAGGAGAGGTGATAGTAGGCATCCTTGCCTAGTTTCTGTTCTCAAGGGGGATGCCTTTAATCTCTCTCCATTGAGAACAATGTTGGCTCTCTGGTTTGCATATATACTTTTTACTATGTTGAAAAATTCCCCCACTCATCCTATTTTGCTGAGTTTTAATTAGGAAAGGGTGTTGGATTTTGCCAAAGGCCTTTTCTGCATCAACTGACAGAATCATGTGGTTCTTGTTCTTTATATGATGAATTACATTGACTTTTTTTTCTGTTGAACCATCCTTGCATACCTGTTATGAATCCCACTTGGTCATAATGAATTTTTTTTTCATGTATCATCAAATTCTATTGGCCAGGATTTTATACAGGATTTTTGCATGTCTGCTCATGAGAGATACTGGCCTATAGTTCTCTATTTCGGTAGTGTCTTTACCTGGCATAGAATGAGTCTGTGAGAATTCCATCTTTTTCTATTTTCTATAATAGTTTATGTAGAATTGGTGATAGTTCTTCTCTGAATGTTTGATAAAATTCACTTTTTTTTCATTTAGGTTGTTTATTTTTCATTTCAATGAACATCTACAGAGATTTTGGAATTCCATTCATTCATTGTTGCAC